TGCACGCCCAAACAAAAACAAAACTTAACCTGACATTCCTGCGTAATTTACACATCTGGCACATTTGTCTCGACCAACTGGGACTTCCGTACAGGACCGAGGGGGTGTTCAAAGCAGCGCAGGGCAGCACATTCACATCTGTGATCGCTAAGGCGCCGCGGCACGGCCGTGAGAGCAGTTACACTGTAACACTCTGCAGGCATTGTTTTTAATACGCTGACATTTAAATTGTGATCCCACTTGCCCTCTGGAGGGGACAGATTTTGGCAAAGAAACAAGTGAGGAGAGGTGTTAAGGGAGTCGAAATTAAACAAGGGAACTAAGATTTTTGAGCATGAACAAAGATGGTCTGGGTGCATTTGAAAAATCAGTTTTTCCTAATTCTACATTTCCAACAAGTGAATTGTTTCCTTTTGTATCAGCTACCCTTAAAAATTACTAAATAATAGCTCAATACTGACTTGGTTCACTTTGTGCAAATAATCACTGCAGGTAAACAGTCGTTTGAAAAACCTAACGGTAAAGTTAACTTGTTGCCCTGTCGTGTGTGCAGCTGTGGCCCGTAATCAGCGGGCCGATGATGCTCGGCGGCGCAGCACCGTCTTCTCCTCCCGTGTGCGAAAAAGATCCTGAGAGGACAAACTGTGCATGAGATGCTTTCATTTGTCAGAGCACTTTGGCATTTTTGTGTTAACAATTAGCTAACAATAACAACTCACTTTGATGCTAACCAGGGTGGAAACGGGGTCACGACCTTTAACAGCCGCCTTGCTTCGCTACACCCGCAGATCTCCTCTCTCTCTCTCACACACACACACACACATACACACACACACACACACACACAAATCTAATGGACAAATTCAATAAAACACCAGTGTGGGGAAATGCAGATTCCCATGAAGGTTTAATTTTGATTAAATCAATTGTGTCCAGATGTGCTATTAGTCCAGGCTTAAAACGGCAGGAAAGAAGCGACACAACGTACGAGGGCCCAACTTTCCTATTACTGCAATCAGCGTGTAATTACGCAAATGAAGAGTCCATTGACTTGTTTTTGTTGGAGACGCTTGTTTTAAATGTGCTGATTAATTTTCTTATGATGTCTTCATTCATGGTTACGTCGCTCCTTCTCTTTGAGATCGGCTTTCTTTCCTTCTCGGTGAGAAAAATTTAGTTAATATGAAGTTTGGTGCAGAATTTTTACGGTGAGAATCCAAAGAAAGGATCTTTAGGATAGGACACATTGTTAAAAAATGAGAAAATGTAAAAACTGTACAGCATGCAAAAACAAAACTCCACTGTCAGCGAAATGTGAAATGAAATGACAAATGTTTACCTTGAATGGTGAAGCCTTCAGATGAAGCACATCCTGTCATCTGCCAATTATCACTGTTGTGTTTTTATTTGAATCCTTCATTTTTCCA